TGCTTTTTGATGTTTCTGATCTTCAGAGTCACTGATCACACTAGGACATTCCAACATTTCCCAGAGGAGTGATCTGGTCTTCTGTGAGCTCCCTGGCACTATCAATGTGCAAGCAGATTGCTTGACCACTTCATGAGTGAGGTAGACAAGACTGGGGAGGGAACTAAATAGATACCAGATTGAAAGAAAGATGAAGGAGCTGGGGCTGTTTTCCCTGAAACAAGGTGACATGGAGGATATAATTCCTGGGTTCAGATCCCTAGAGGGCTGTTTTGGGGACAGAAAAAGTAAGAGCTGAGTTTTTGACAAAGTTCCCAGTGCTGGACACATTAAACTAATGGTGATGCTTTAGGGTGAGGAGAGTGGGAGGTTGTGGGCATTTTCTTCAGGCTGAGCCTGGTGGGTTGCTGGACTGGGAAGGTCTTTATAAATGACCAAGTCCTTCTTAAGCTTTAGAAAAGCTGAGTGAGGGCCGGGCGCGGTGGCTCAAGCCTGTAATCCCAGCACTTTGGGAGGCCGAGGCAGGTGGATCACGAGGTCAGGAGATCGAGACCACCCTGGCTAACACGGTGAAACCCCGTCTCTACTAAAAATACAAAAAACTAGCCGGGCGAGGTGGCGGGCGCCTGTAGTCCCAGCTACTCGGAGGCTGAGGCAGGAGAATGGCGTAAACCCGGGAGGCGGAGCTTGCAGTGAGCTGAGATCCGGCCACTGCACTCCAGCCTGGGCGACAGAGTGAGACTCCGTCTCAAAAAAAAAAAAAAAAAAAAAGAAAAGCTGAGTGAGAACACATTCTGTTATGGAGGCTTCTCCTTCCCACCCTCCTCCTCACTCTGAGAAGTGGGGGAAGGGGAGGGGCAATGAGTTGGAGGATATGCAGAGAGGCTCAGTTCAGAAGAGAAAAAAAAAATGTGTGCTAGGCTGAGGCTGGGCCTTCTCAGTGCTTCCTGGTGGAGGTGTGGGAACACCCACAGCTCAGGGGCCTCACCCTGTCTCCCATTTGAGTGGCGGGGAGGGATATAGGAGGACAGGCTGGGGGCAGGAACCCTAGCCTCGCCAGGCACCTGTCTATCTGTCAGTCAGTCCTTCCAGGACTTCCCCGCAGGCGAGCCCCTCCTCTTACTGAAATCGCTCCCAGAATGGCACTGGTAAGATAACACGGCCTGGGAAGAGGGGGTGGAGGGTAGCCTAAAATTAGCCCCTTGGACCAAGACTAGGGGCTGACTCCTAGTCTTTCAGTGGCATTGTTAACAGTGGGAACTGAGAGCCCCAGCTGCTCCAGGCTGGGGCCGTAGAGGCTCCCTAAGGAGGGGACACCAAGGCCCCAGTGTTTCACAGACGGGTGGGGGCAGCGACCCCGGGCAGCACGGCCTCAGGCTGAAGCCCGGTGAGTACCTGGAGCCTAGGACTGGTTTGAGAACAGTGACCACTGCGGGCCACAGACCTGTGATCACCCACTACCCGTTGTAGGCTGTTTCCGCTGGGTCTGGGACATGGTGGGAGTTGGGGGAGGTGCTTGGGAGGTCGTTAGGGTAACCCACCAGGAGGAGGGAGGAGGGATATAATGCCAGCTCCCTGCCTTGTTGTCCCAAGAGGATATGTCTGCCTAGGACCTCGAGTCTAAACAGACCTGCTTCTTGAGAGCAATTGAGATTATACACTACAGGAAGTGTGGAGATTTGTCTTTGTGTCCCTGTGTGGTGGTGTTGGCTAGTCTCTGTGTATGGGTGCCTTGGAGTGGGTTTAAGGGCATAAGGGCAGAACTCCTAAGGGTGGGAGAAGGAAGATAAGGCTTAAAAACATTCTACTAATGCCTGAAGGAGTGATCTAGGGTGCACAGAAACCAATCACTTTCCTGTAGGAGTACTTAACCTGTATTCACAGACACCAAGAGGACCTTAGACAGAATTCAAGGGGTCCAGAAACTTGGATGAGTAGACAATTACCTTTTTTTCCCCTAACCGCTAACTAAAATTTACTATTTCCTTCAAGGATTAATGCAGGTAGCAAATGGCAGTAGCATAACCAGTTCCTGTAACTTGGTTACCAGAAGAAACCACAGATATTTCATATCATATTACAGTTGTGGCAGATACCTTGAAATGTCATTTGTTACCACTTAGAAATTATTACTAGACCTTTTAATTTAATGTGTTACTAAAGAACATCTCTTACTATATCACGCATTTAATAATATTTTGACAGTCGCATTTTATTATAATTGGTTTCCTTTAATTTTGTGTGTTTTATGTAGTAAAAACCATTCTGAAAGGCGTTTACAGACTTCACTAGTTTGTCACAGGAACCAGTATCACAAAAAAAGGTTTAAAATTCCTACATCTTTAGGATCAGGAAGGAGCTCCGTGCACATAGGAGGCACATAATAACTATTTGATTAATAAACTACAGCAAAGTGAGGTTAGACAACAGGCTAGCTGGATTTTCTTGTCCTTATCTAACGGAGGCACAGTTCACTCCAGTGCCAAAGCCAGCTGGAGAGCATGGCTTGGTCTCCCTCTGGAGGCTCATTATATGAGCACTGCTGTAGGCTCTTGGTATGACCTTTGCAAGAGCTTCGGCATTTTCCTCTGCCACTCCCTGCCACATTATCTCCCCAGACCCTAGTCCCCAAAATAAAATACTAAGGAGGGAATTCCTACCAGTTTTCAGAATAAATTATTTGTAAAAGAACCTTCCATTACTGAAGACCCTGGAATTCATCATGACACTGAAAAGCTGAAGATCCTGGGAGCTGCAATGTGACTCTGCTGGAGTCAAGGGAGGGGGTTATGTGTTTGTGTTTCATCTTGTAACGGAAAGAACAGGAGGAGGAGTAGAGAAACCTGGATTCTGTTTCTGACTCTGCTCTTGCCTTGATGTAAGGCATATGGCAAACCCTTTACCCTCTCTGGACTCAGTTTCCTCCATCCAAAAAATGGGGATAATATTACCTATTTTGTTACATGAAATTTCTTTGAAAAGTACAGGATTATAAGTGTGTTCTGAGTTCTTGTTCATGAGACAACTAACAATAACAACCATGTGACCTTACTAAAGTCCCTGCTCTGCTCTGAACCTTGGTTTCCCCATCTCTAAATTGAAAAAATTAAATTATCTACAACGTCCATTGCAGCTCTGAGGTTCTAGAACATTAAGTAGGGAGCAATAGCCATAGAAAATGGAGACATAAGTAATAATCATCCTCATAGTAAAAATAGTTACCGAGAACTACTTTCAGGCACTATTCTAAGCACTTACTATGTACTAACTCATTTAATCCTAACAACCTTCCAAGGCAGGTACTATTGTTATTTCGTCTTTACAGATTAAGAAATGGGCACAGAGAGATTAAGTGACCTGCCCTAAGTCACACAGCTACTAAATGCTAGAGCTGGGGTAGAAGCAGAACTCCCGTTTTGCCACTACCACATACGGCCTCTTTATCTGCACTGGGGGCAAACAAAGACCCATATAGGAGTTACAGTTCTCTGGAAGAATTAACTTGGCAGAAGGAGTTGTTTGTGGCAGAAAGAAACATGGTGTATATGGAGAGCCATCATTTCTTGTCTCTTGTCACTGGATCTCAGGGTATAAGTCAAGGAGTAGTAGGAAGTGAGGCTGGAGAGATTGGCCAAGATTTGTTCATGAAGGACCTCTGAGCTGGGCTAAAGTATCTGGGCTGTAGCTGGAAAGACAGGGGAGTCATTAAAGTATTTAAAACAGATGATTGGCAGAGATCAGATATGTATTTTAAAATTACCACTTTATCAACAATGTTGAGAAAATAATGAAAAGAGAAACTACCTATGAGACCGCTATAACTGCTGAGGCAAAAGGCAGTGGGGGCCTAGATAAAGCATGGTCAATGAGAATGGTCCCTGAAGAGGACAGATGGTCTGGAGAGGTCTTTAGTAGGTAAAATCCACAGGACTTAATGGGATTGGATGAGAGTGAGATAAAGACACAAGAGGATTGACAGAAGTCTTGGTTTTTGGTTTGGTTGACCAGGTAGATGGTGAGGAAATGATATATGGATCAAGTTTCATCATGGTGGTAGTGGTGGTGATGTGATACTGCTGTCTTTGAAGTGCTTGAAGAAACTCAGTAGATACATGCCTGGAGCTAAAGAGAGAGCTGGGGGCTTGGACAGAGAGGTTTAAAATAATCAGAATAAAGGTGAGCATGACTGGAGAGAAGAGGATGGAGAAGAGAACATAAATACTTCAGGGGAGAATGAGAAAGGAGAAAAATCAGGAGAGTGTGCTGGCAAGGAAGCTGATGGAGGAGTTTGCAGGGAGGAGTGGTCTGTAGGGATAGATATTCCAGAAAAGTCAGGGAAGAAAAGATCTTCAAGACATCCACTGGATTTAACCACAAAGATGACCTTTTGAAGAGCTTTCTTGGTGTGTGTTTGAGGGTGGGTGAAGCCAGACTACAGAGATTGGATAAGTGAATGGAAGGTGGTGAAGTACATAGTAGAAAACTCTTTGGATATGTTTGGTTAAGAAGGGAGAGATGAAGAGAAAGATAGCTAGAGTGAGACAAAGGACCATAGAAGTTTATGGTTTGGTCTCCTAAGATGGTTGAGGGGGAGGAGCCAGTGTGAGGAGGCTGAAGGTGCAGAGTATGTAGTAGCCCTCTTACTCCTAAAAACTTCATGAGAAAGGGACTTTCATTTCTGTCTTATAGATGAGGAAACTGAGTCCCAAAGAAGGGAAGAGACTTACCCAAGATTACTCAGCTAGGAACTGAGAGTGCTGAGCTGCAAATCTGGGTCTGCTGGATTTCTAAACTCCTGTCCTTCCCATTGCACCCCAAGAATAAATAAATAATAAGACCATATATGGAGCTGATGCTGGTGGGTGGGGAGGGGCCTAAAGTTTAGGGTGACCCTACCCACCCACCTCATAATTTTCTTCCTATGAGGTAGGTACCTGAGGTCCCAGACTAACAAAGAGGGGTGGGGATAGACAGTGAATAAAAGGAGGTATGAGGCCCTGAGACCTCGGCTGCAGGGTATGGGAGAGTAGGGAAACTTAAGCTCTGAGAAACCTGCCAGCTCACCCTGATGACATTACAAACTGAGGTGGGTGACCTTGACACTGAATCACTAGGAATAGGACTGGTAAGATCAGAGTTTAGGTTGAGTCAGACATTGAGCCATGTGAGTGGTTTTGTAGGGCCTGAGGATTGTGGGAAGAGAAGAGTTGAAGGTTGAGTCAAAGGCTCTAGGCTGGGTCAGACAGAGAGGATGGAAAAAGGGTTAAACCAGAGGAATGGGGAGGCAGTGTTGGCAATCAAAGGGACTCCTGGATTAAATTGGCCCTGGGGGAGAATCTAGTTGTAATCAGAGAGGAAATTTGCCCTGGGAACCTCGACTGTTTCCTGCCATCTGTCTTCATTTTACTTGAAATATGTTCTTTGTAACGCTACCTCTTCATTTAATCAGTAAATATCATTCGATACCAATTTCCTAAATACTTCTATTCCTGAAATGTGGGGCTTTCATCTGAAGGAAGGTTACAGAACACTCAGGTGAGGGAGCTTTAGTCATATATGAGGGGCTGTGAAGAGTTAAACTATCTGAAAATGGAGTTAAGGGCTTGTCCCAAAAGACTGATGTCAGAAAGCTCAGGGATGACAGCTTGACACCACAAAGTATGGTTCTATTGGCCTAGCCAGTGCCAAGCCAGAGCCACCTTACTAATCCACACATTCTGATCTGAGAAAAATGCATCTACCAAATTTCCAGCCATGATATAGCCCTACTAGGGGTAGAGGAATACAAGATGAATACAGGGTCCTTGCCCTGGAGTTTATACACTAATGGAATATAGATAAGCGGAAATGTGGTTTGAAAGTTCATAGCTGAAGTTTAGTTGTGATCCTTCAGAATCCCTGAGCAGGAAGAAGAGATTAGGGAAGGCTTCCTAGAAGTAGGAGTTTGAGGGGCAGGCAGAAGAGTATATGCAAAGGCATCAAACTATAAAATGCCCTGACCTGTTTTGGCAGTGTCTTTGGGGCCTGAAATAAGACAGTGGGATTGGGAGTGAGAAGTAGGAGACCCATGAATGAGTAGCCTGATGGTGAAGGGCAGGGGGCAAGGGGTTGAAATGGAGGCAGATTTCAAGGAGGGTGTGTGATCAGGCTTTTGATGGGTACCCTCATTCTCTCCCACTTGTTTGTCACCCACAGATCTGGCATTTCCTTGTGCTCATAATGAGAATAGTTCTCCAGTTAGCTAAGATGAACCTCATGGACATCACCAAGATCTTCTCCCTCCTGCAGCCCGACAAGGAGGAGGAGGACACCGACACGGAGGAGAAGCAGGCTCTCAATCAAGCAGTGTATGACAACGACTCCTATACCTTGGATCAGCTTTTGCGCCAGGAACGTTACAAACGTTTCATCAACAGCAGGAGTGGCTGGGGCGTTCCTGGGACACCCTTGCGCTTGGCTGCTTCTTATGGCCACTTGAGCTGTTTGCAGGTCCTCTTAGCACATGGCGCTGATGTTGACAGCTTGGATGTCAAGGCGCAGACGCCACTTTTCACTGCTGTCAGTCATGGCCATCTGGACTGTGTACGTGTGCTTTTGGAAGCTGGTGCCTGCCCTGGTGGTAGCATCTACAACAACTGTTCTCCCGTGCTCACAGCTGCCCGTGATGGTGCTGTTGCTATCCTGCAGGAGCTCCTAGGCCATGGTGCAGAGGCCAACGTCAAAGCTAAACTACCAGTCTGGGCATCAAACATAGCTTCATGTTCTGGCCCCCTCTATTTGGCCGCAGTCTACGGGCACCTTGACTGTTTCCGCCTGCTTTTGCTCCACGGAGCAGACCCTGACTACAACTGCACTGACCAGGGCCTATTGGCTCGTGTCCCACGACCCCGCACCCTCCTTGAAATCTGCCTACACCATAATTGTGAGCCAGAGTACATCCAGCTGTTAATAGATTTTGGTGCTAATATCTACCTTCCATCTCTCTCCTTTGACCTGACCTCACAAGATGATAAAGGCATTGCATTGCTGCTACAGGCCCGAGGTGAGTGGTGAACAGGCCAGCCTTGGGTCACGAGGCTTGGAGATCTCAGGGCCCCAAATCACTGTAAAAGCCAATCCTCTGAGATGCAATGGAGAAAACTCCATTTTCCTCCCTCTCCCGTGGCCCCAGTAGAGAAGAGGTTATGTATTCCATGTTAGAGAAAGGTCACTAAGATAAGGTTGGTTGGGGGTGGGGAGCACTAGCCCAATTTCTGGTTCTGGCTCTGCCAATGACTGTTTTATTTCTTGGAAAGGATAGAGCATTAGGGCTGTAGTAGCCAGGGGAGGGTGGATGTAGGCTTGTGTGGGAGAATTATGCTGATAATTGCTCCTCATGACCTGTTTCTTCTTGCTGTAGCCACTCCACGGTCACTTCTATCACAGGCCCGTTTAGTCATCCGCAGAGCCCTGTGCCAGGCTGGCCAGCCACAAGCCATCAACCAGCTGGATATTCCTCCCATGTTGATTAGCTATCTAAAACACCAACTGTAATCTTGCAGTCTCCCCAGGAACTTATGATGCCTCCAAAAACCACCTGGGGACTCAGGTAGCTGGAGGGCATTACAGCCTCATCCACTTACCTGGAGTTGCTCTCCTGTATTATCCTCCACAATAAAATTATCCAGAAAATAAGTCCCAGTGTCTGTTGTGTCTGGTGTGTGTGGGCATGGATGGGGGCGTGGGCGTTATTGAGGGAAGGGGTATGATTGGCCATGGGGAAGGATAGCAAATGGTCTGGTATCTGACAGGCACAGGAGTCTGTAAGAGCAAAAGAGGAAAATAACCCAATGGCCTATACCTCCACACCAAGATCCTTTAGAGAGTTTTGGGAGCTGTGTTGCCCTGGAAGCAAGGTCCTGAATAATACAAGTGGGTAGAAGCGTAGCATCAGCTTGCCCAGCCCTGTGCCTCCCTTCAATTCTCTGGCTGCTGCATGACACCTTTTCATTGGCTGTCCCCCAGTCTCATATTACTTTGAGTCAAGTGACTGAGGAGCCTCCCATTCACTCACCTTGAATCATAGGCTGCATTTCCGCTAGTCCAGTTTATGTTCAAGATCTACCTGGGTAAGCAAACTATCAAATATTTATGACAGAGTATCTAATGTGAAAAATAATTTGGTTACATAGGTGATAGGCTGGGAATTGAAGTAAGACAAGCAGATAACCTAGAGATTAGCAAGTGCAGGAAGCCAGCATAACTTCTAGGCTTCAGGGGTAAGGGAGGAGGGACAGGGGTCATCTGATTGAAAGTGAAATCACAGGCCTACCCATGATTTGGGTGGTGAAGAATGGAGGGACCATGGGAGGAGGTAGTATGACCTAAACCAGGAGCTGGAATCACACAGCAGAATTGGAAGTATGCTGATAGCAGGAACCACAGAGCAGACACAGCAGGGGCACCACCCAAGGCAGAGAAGGCAGAGGCTAAGTACCCTGGCTTCTCCATTTTTCCTGCCTTCCCACCAGTGCCTTCTATTGGTTAAACCCAGCCAGAAGGTAGTTGACTTGGGAGCCTGGGAAACACAGCCTGTAGGGGTCAGACCCCCTATAATGTGGAGAACAGGGGAAGGAGGCAAACAGACCCTGGACCAGCGAGGATATCCACTTAAATCCAGGGAAATTCATTTTACTAAATTTTAATCCCTCCACAGGACCTTCTTGTATTTCTCCTGTACAACTGTGGGTGAGAACATGGGTGAGCAGTGAAAGGGACACAAGATTAAGGGGTAGAGGAGGAGAGCCCAGATAATCTGTACCCAGGAAGCACTTTACATATTTAGAGCCCCCCCTGGGAGCTGCTTTGGTGGTCTCCTACATCATGCTCCCCTATCACTGGGAAAGGGAGACAGAGCACGGAGTCTTAATCTGATTTGCCCCCTACTTCTCTCACCTCCCCCATTCTCCCTAGCTACTTCTGCCTGAGAGACTTTAGGAAAGAAGGTGAGAAAATTGGATATCTATCTCCATGCTCCCACCCCACCCAGCTTTCAGATTTTCATTCTTAGGCACTTTGGGAAACAGTGCAACTGTTTTTCTCCAAGGAGCATGAGAACTAAAGAACTCAGGGCTTCAGGGTAGGCATCCTCAGCTCTCTTCTATCTTTCTTTCAATCTGGGCTCCTAAGTGGTAGTTTGTGCAAAACCTCACCCCTAGCCCTGCCTGTGATTCTCTTAGGGCCCTTGGGGATTGAGTCAACCTCAGCAGCCCTATCTGCTATAGTTCCCCAGGAAAGTACACCCTTCGAATGGGGTCTGGGCAAGGTGGCCTCCTCCATGGCATCTGGGACACAGATTCTGGTTGACTCATGAAGGCACATGGACACTTTAGGCATTTCAAAGTTCATGCGCTTGAGGAGGTTATAGGAATGTACAAAATTCTAGGTAAAGAGGAAGGGCCAAAACTCTTAGCTTCAATTTCCCAGATGAGGGAATTGAGAACCCAACTAAGGTAAGTGCCCATGTTATTATTTACGGTCCAGCTCTTCAGAACAATCCTAGCTGTTCTCTCTCCGGTTGCCTGTGCTGTTAGTGAGAAGAGACAACGTTAAGACCTGGTGCCTTAATGTTTTATCCTCCCCAGGCCTCATCATTCCCATCCAGAAAATGGGCCAGGAGTTGGAATGAATCACCTCAAATTCTGATGATGACTTTTCCAAGGCAATTTTGCCTAGGAAGTATGAGGAGAAAGCAGAGATGCTATTACTGTACCTAGAGTGAAATCTTCCTCTTGGCCTTTAGTGTCTTGTCCAGGTGAAAGCTCAGTTTCCTCAATCTCCCTTACCCCCAGCACAGTCACTAGCTTTCAGAGGGCCAAATCTTAACTACTTCAGGTAAGCTAGGCCCCTTATCTCCCTTTTATCTCTCCTCCTGACCTCCCTTTCCTTTCTGCCTTTCTTCCTTCCTCTCTCCCTCCTTTCTTCCCTCCTGCTATCATCTTAATGTGGTACTTCCCAAATTCATATGTTGGAACCTAATCCCTAGTGTGACAGTATTAGGTGATGAGGCCTTTGGGAAGTGATTAAATCATGAAGGCTCCAGTTTCATGAATGGGATTAGTGACCTTATAAAAGAGGCCCCAAAGACACCCCTCACCCCTTTCACCATATGTGAGGACACAGCAAGAAGATGCTGTTAATAAACTAGAAAGTGGGCCCTCACAGGACACCAAATCTGCTGGCACCTTGATCTTGGACTTTCCAGCCCCCCAAACTGAGAGAAATAAATTTCTGTTGTTTATAAGTTGCCCAGTCTAAGGCATTCTGTTATAGCAGTGCAAGCAGACTAAGACACCTCCCTTTCTTCCTTCCTGACATTGCCATTATCCTAGATCTTGGTTCTGCTTTCTACAGGCCACTATCAGTCTGCACTCTCTCCTGCAATGGGAAAATTATTTTGCTTTATTCAAAAAGATGGCCCCCAAGGACTAGATCCAAAGTGTAAAATGGCCCATGGGACTCCAGAAACCAGAGACATCTCCATTCAGCTACTAACTTGACAGAAAGCCTGATGGAGAAGGTGGTTTTTGATATTTGCTTTGAAAAGTGGAAAAAAATTTAATCAGCAGAGAGGAAGCAAAAGGTATTAGTGGAGGGAACTCAATGAGCAAAAGCATAGAAGTGGGAAAATTCAGTTCAGTGAATTTGAACAGGAGCTAGGTTGCGGACTAGACCGAAGAGAGCCATGAATACCTTAGTTTTTTAGAGTTGAAGGTTTCAGTTCTTAGAATGGGACACTTACAGTCGCAGGAATGACTTCGTGAGCATATGGAGAACATGTTCCCTGATTTCCCAGGACATATCTGCTAGCATTAACTAAACCACTGTCTTGTGTGCACATATCAATTTACTACTTACAAGTTATTTGCACACCTATAATTTCATTTACTTCTTAGAACAATTCTGTGAAGTAGGCAGAACAGCTTTTGTACAGATGTCGCAACTAAAGCCCAGAGAAGGGAGGTGACTTGACACAGTGAGGCAGTGGCAGAGCCAGGACTGAACCCACAAGACTCCTGATACCCAAGCCACTGTCCTTTCCCAAGATGCTGCTTTGCCTCACGTGTGAATGTTAGCACTGAGGCAGGGTGGTGCATGGAGTTTGCAAGCTCTGACTTCATTTTGCAGGCCTGGGTCCCTGCCCTCCCGCCGACAGAGCTTGGCACTAAGGAGTGATGTAGCGAGGTAGGAAAAAGTGGCAGCCCCAGTGACTGGGGATAAGTTAAAGGGGCTGGGGTAAGCCTGCAGTGAGGGGCTGGGCATATGGGAAGATCAGAGGCCTCCCTCTCCCTGCCCAGGGCTCAGAGGGGCCCCAATCCTACTTTACTGGTAATTTCCAAACTCTAAAGGGGTTTCATTTTCCCTCAACCCTGAGGAAACCCTGTTCCTAAACAGTCAAGCCAATGACCATCTGCTTCATCCTGGTATCTTCTGAGCTCTATCCACCTATAGGTACAGAAGACATTAGCTTCCAGCTACTAGACTACTTGCCGGCTCTTACTTTGCCAATCTCCAAGTAGGCTGCTTCTTCCCAGGAGAAAAGCAGAGGCTAGGCTAGTGGCAGAATCTGGTCCACTGATACCTCCAATGCTCTGGCTTACAGTTCCTTCACCTCCTTGACTCTCACACCACCCCTCACTCTCCATTTTAGTATCCTTGGCCTTACCTGGAAATGCAGGTTCCCCTTTCTAGTCAGATTTGCTTGCTTTCCCAGAAGTTACATTCCTGGAACTCTATGGTTTGATTTCACAGAATCAATTCAACAGATACTTATTGAGTACTTATTCTGTGTCAGGAACTGCATTTCAGGAACCACATAACCTAATTTATCTGCATTTCCCCTTTCTCCTGTCTTCCCTTCCCTCACTGTCCATCTTTGACTCTGTCTTCAATCACTTCATTCTCCACACTAACTTTGGATCAAGCCGTTGTCCTCTCCTAAGCCTGGTCTAAGGAATACCATAGAAGAAATAGAAATGACTAATCATCATAGAAATCTAAAGAATCGATAGAAGAGTGATGGTCACCAGAGGGTGAGGGACTTTGGGGGGAAAAAATGGGGGATTATTCATCAAAGGGTACAAAGTTTCAGATAAACAGGATGTGATGGTTAATATTGAGTGTCAACTTGATTGGATTGAAGGATGCAAAGTATCGTTCCTGGGTGTTTCTGTGAGGTTGTTGCCAAAAAAGATTATTAAAATCTGAGTCAGTGGACTGGGAGAGGCAGACCCAGCCTCACACAGTCTGGCTGGGCACAATCTAATCAGCTGCCTGCTCAGCTAGAATAAAGCAGGCAGAAGAACATGGAAAGAATACACTGCCTGAGCCTTCCAGCCTTCATCATTCTCCTGTGCTGGATGCTTCCTGCCCTCAATCATCAAACTCCAAGTTCTTCAGCTTTTGGACTCTTGAACTTACACCAGTGGTTTGCCAGGGTCTCTCAGGCCTTCAGCCACTGACTGAAGGCTGCAATGTTGGCTTCCCTACATTTGTAGTGTTGCGACTCAGACTAGTTTTCTTTCTCCTCAACTTGCACAAGGTCTACTGTGGGACTTCACCTTGTGATTGTGGGAGTCAGTAATACTCCTTAATAAACTCCCTTTTATATATACATATATCCTATTACTTCTGTCCC